GGGCCCGCGGGGGGGAGCGTGAGGAAGGGCTGGCCGCTGCCCTCAGCATCCCTGCACTGGCCTATCACGTCAAGGTGTCTTCTCAGGAAAAGGACAATCCTAGCAGAGGGGAGCGGAGGGTATCGTCGTTTTCAAACACTGGGAACAATAGCCTTGACTTAGGGTACAAGCTGCCTCTCGGTGGAATTTCCAGGTTCCAGGAGAGCCCTTCTCCGTTCTTCTCCGGCGGAAGGTTAAAGACACAGCGTCCTCCCTCTGAGGCCCCCCAGCCTGAGCTTCCACAGACGGCAAGTGCTCTGCAGACTATGTTTTCTTAATGTATCAAAAATAATGCATTTATTACAGAGAAACTATACAGGTTTCCTGTTTCTTTGTTCTTATAGCATTTTTTTATTCTCTCATTTTAGTGATTCTGAAATTGGGATGCATCTTAAAATAGATTGGACATTTTGATATGATACTATTTCTTTCGATTTCCCGAAGTGGTGTACTTTAAATCCACAGTGATTCCCAAATGACTACATCCTAGAATTGGGGAAGTACCGTATAAGTAGAGTTTGGGGAACAAAACATGGAATCCATGGCAGAAAACAAACAAAAGGGACCCTTCGTGGTGGAGAGTTGGGGCCAGTGCCTTAAACAGTGACAAGTCTAAAAATGACAAAGTTTCCAAGAAACTTTACATATGACCATTATGGACAAAAAAATGCTGACGAGGCCTAATTCCGTCCCAGCGTGTTTCTTTCTGTGTGGGTGACATACTTGTAGCAAACAGTTCCTAAAATTATCCTCATACCACTCCTCCAGATTTCAAGTCAGACATATCTGCACATTTAACAGAAGGAGCTTTCTTCTCCCTTTGTTGTATTCGCTAATTTGTAATTGTTGGGTTTGTGGGGAAAAGCATCCTTCTTTTGGTGGTTGGCCTGTGGGTTTTTCTGAGGCAGCCTCAGGGAACGTGGCCGTGGGGGACCCCGGGAATGTCCTGGGGGAGCCACCCCGCACGTCCCCGGCCTGTGCATGTGGCAGGCCGTTGGCTCTGTGAGCACGTGCACGGGGTGCGGCTGAGTCCAGGCCGTGTTTTGTGTAAAGAATGGAGGTGCTTTCGGCAGCGTGTCAGCATGGCCGGGAGCTTGTCAGATGAAGGGCTGCATCCCAGAGTCTGCACCTCACAGGGGCGACTCAGGCGGCAGAGAGCAGGTGCAGAGGACCCCTTCAGAGTTCATCCCGCGCAGCGCTGCCCCCTCAGCCTTCCCGATGTCCCCGCTCAGGGCACCCGCCAAGGTGCGGAAGGCTGATTCATCCCCCGATGCGTCTCTGGCAGCGCTGTGGTGTTGGCTGCTGAGTGAGAAGGCAGAGCAAGCCCTGACTCGGTTCACAGAGCGGTCTGGGAAAAACGAGAGGAACGCCGCCCTCATCCCGCCTTTCCCCTCCTCTCCAGGCTCACCGCGAACGCTCTCCCACAACGCGCGGCTTTGCGCTGAGCCCCCGCCCCGCAGCCAGGACACGGGTCCTTTAAGACTCAAGTCTAGGCTGGCTTCATCCTTGAACACTTCTTAGAGGAAGATTTCTGTAGCTGTACATGGGAAAATGGCTTCTTAGTGAGACTGTAAACAAGGAACTGGATATTTTTTTATTTTCCTCTCATGGTCCGGTTTCCGACCTTGAATATCACTTTCAGAGCTTGTACCAAGAAGACACAGTAAGGAGCAAATTTTCCTGATACCTGCCCCCGGTCCCCAGTAGAGTCCCATTGACTGCAGCCCCCTGGCTGGCCCAGGGTCCTGGAGCAGGAGGCCATGTGTCAGTCTCTCCACAGGCAGCGACCCTCTCAGGTGGCATTTCACACCACATTGGACTTTTATCTGCACCCCATACCGTCCCCTGAGTAGGTGGTAATGAGCCACCGAATGTGCTGACTTCTCCAGTCCCTCCTTGGTCCATTACAACAAAAGTTGCTCTTTCCTCATTAGAACCATTTTTGTCAGAGTGTCTTTAATCAATGGCTTCCCCAGGGACAATATTTTTAGAAGTTGTATTTTTCACACTCTCCCTTTTCCCCTTTTGGAAAATCTCTTCCCAGGGCCCAGTGAAATGAACTAATGAGATGCCATGAGAGTTCGGGCCAGTGTTAATTGGCAGGAAGCTGCTCATGCACACCTCCGGTTCCGTCCTGCCTTACCTGTGGTCCTTCCCCCTGTCTCTCCGGTGCAGGTTGCCCAGACAGCAGATGGTGTGGATGCTGACCTCTGGAAAGACGGCTTATTTAAATCCAAGGTGACCAGATACCTGTGTTTCACAAGATCATTTTCCAAAGAAAATGTAAGTCCAGTAGCGCTTTGCCACGTGCTGAACGAGCACCAGCCATTTATGTTCCTGTTGAAAATTTCCTCATTTTTGTTTGTTTGTTTGTTGTGGCGGTGGTTTATTTTTATTGCTATATTAATTTATCTGTGGTTTTAGTGGACTGGGTCGCATCAGCAGCTAGCGCTGTGTTTCATCTATTAACAGTATTATTAACCACGTACCCAAGTGTACAGTGAATTTCATTAAAATGCGTGCGCAGAAGGAAACCAGGAAATTTCTCCCCCAGGCTCAGATGCCTACCTCCCCTCCAAGTAACAAATCACAGGTAGTGGCGACTTGGGGACTTTCCCGTGGGGCTGGGATGAAAGCTGACCGGCAAGTGGAGGCATCGCTAGAAAGATGCTGCATGGTCACTCCTTACCACAGATACGGCCTTTCCAAAATGACCGGCTTCCTCCCCGAGTCTCTGTGACCTCTGACATGTCATTGTTTTTGCAGGTAGGCATCCACATGTGCAGACTGCTTTTTAGTATGCTGTTTTTAATGCTTGGGCCCATAAATTAGGAAATTTTAAAGATACCTTCTGAGGCTTTTCCAATAGTGTTTTAACGGGTGGCTTAGAAAAAAGGGAACTAGCTTTCCTGAGCATCCACCCCATGTGAGGCCTGCTCAGGCACCCTGCAGATAACACCTCTTCCATCCTGAGACAGACTCTTGAAGTATTAGCTCCTTTCCTGAGGTCAGACAGTTTTTGTGCTTGTCCAAGGTCACCTGTCTTCCCTAACCCCAAATGAGGGAGCAGTCAGATTGTCATTTTCAGGGGTGGCAATTTATTCTTGGCCTAAATGTTATAATCTTTTTCTAAAGCAAAGTTTTTTTGAAACATTTTTATAAATTTTATTATAACGGTAATATATATGTTCGTGGTTTAAAAAGAAAAAAGCAACTTCAGACATCCTCATTTAGAAGCACGAAAGGGGAAAAGGAACAGCCTTTTTCCTCGTCACCCCCCCCCCCCGCCACACAGCCCTGTGGCCCTGTCACGGGGCCCTTGTGTGTCCCGCCAGCGTGTCCTGGGTGCGGACAGTCGTAAGGCGCTCTGGCCATCACTCTCTTCCACCAGCCGCTCCTGTCTTTGTTAGGAAAATTATTTCTCATGTATTTGGGACTGGGGAAGAAGTCCTTGCTTTAATTCCTGTCCCCCCCCGCCTCCAATTACGAGAGTAACATGCTTGTAAAGTGCAGGGTTTCTAACGGCATAGGGACAGTCCTGGCACTAGACATTGGAAATCTTTTGCACACAGGCCCGAAGGCGGCAGCCGAGTCTGTAACGAGTGTGAGCAGGTCCCTGGTCTGAAGGCCGGGTTGCCTTCACAGACGTGCGCTCATGGCGTTTGGGGCAGTCGCCCCGTCACCCCCCTCCTCTCCCCCTGTGTCCACAGCCGCACGGTGCACTCCACGCCCCTTTGTCCCTGCAGTTTACCGAAACCCTTTTTTGAAACTATGTATGTTTTTAGTTTTCGTCACCTCTGTTCTGTCTGCTGGCCCGCACGTTCATGGCTGCTCAGGGCTGGAAGGATGAACTCCCGAGGATTCGAAGTGCTCGTATTCACACCCTCGCTCTGCTCAGTGGCTTCGCGGTGTCATTGCTGATATCTGCTGAGCCTTCACCTGTCCTGACTGAAGAGGCTTTATTTCAAAACTGTGCCCTCAAAGGACAGCCACGACCTCTTTGATCGTTTTCAATGTGTTTTTGCTGTGTTTCCCCCTGAAGGCTGTGGGTTATTTGCATTCTAGGCCAGTTGAGTCCCCGATCCCTCGGTGTGGGAACAGTGACAAGTCTAAAAATGACAGAGAGAGGTCACTGGGGCTTGTTAGTTTGGGGCGTCATAGGTAAACGTATTATAGAAAATGCACTGACTTAGTCCACATTTGTTGAACATTAGAGAGATGTTTATTGACTGTCTACTTTGTGTGTCTTAGTCCATGGGGGCCAGGCGTGGCAGGGGGTGGGGTGCAGTGAGGGGTGTAAGATGAGGAAGAAGGTAGTGGGGGAACCCCCGCCTCTCCCGTGAAGCAGTATACGGAATAGGTGCATTTCGTTTTCCGGGGGCCCCTTGTCAGCCCAGGAACGGAGCAGGAGGAGGCATATTTCAGGCTGCCGCAGCCGGTCTGTGCTGGCCCTGCTCTCAGAGCCAAGACTTTGCAGAGCATAATTTTTTACAGCTGTAAAGGAGGGATGTGGGATCTCCAGACTGGACAGATTCTTAATTAGGTGACTTGAGACTCCCAGTGTAGGAGTTTGGGGAGACTCCTTTGAAACCTAAATTTCTTTTCCCCAATAACGCAGTTAATACAGAAACCTGGCTTTGGAGTGACATTGCTTCCTGGGGAAGGATCGAGATTAATTGCACTTTTCATGCCCTGTACTTTCTGCATTACCTGTAATAATAATGTATATAGATTAGGTAGGGAGGATATTAAACAGAAGGATTTATGAACATTTGAATATTAAGTTGGTTATCTGTGGCTACCTTAAATGCAAGGTTGTCAAAAATAATTACAGTATACTAGCAAATACTGGCTACCAGAGACAATATAAACACCCTGAGTCAGTGCATATTGGGCTTTTGGCATGAATCATTTGCTCAACAAGGATTGGGAATACGTTCTTCATATTTATGAGGAGGAAATGAAAGGGAGCACGGGATGGGGGTTGGGAGAGGAACTCACAAAATTAATGGTGTCGCAGACCTGCTGCATGAAACCCAGTGTGGTGGCGGCCATGTGCCCAGGGCCCCCCCTGGACCGCAGGAAGTCCCGAAGGCACAGCCCCCCGCTCCGTACGCACGGGAGGGTTTTCTGATGCGTTTTTTAAACGGCCTCACGGCTGACGTTCTGGTTTTACGATCGGGGACGTGTAGAGTGTGGAGGGCGAGGTCGCTAACTGGTTTGCAGTTGACTTCCGTAAAACCCAAGCTGTCACGCAGAAGACGTTCGAGAAGGATATTGATGAATGCCCATCTATCTCCAGGGCAGGGAAACCTACCCAGCTGCTAATTTCTCAATGCAGAAAGCGGTGATGACATGGAGACGCAACTGCCATGAAAAAAAATTATGATAGATTAGATGAGGCGACTCTGAAAGCCGCCGATGTTTGCGAGTCAGCGTAACCGCTCAGACCCTCCCCGCACGGTCAGAGATTTATTCCCCACCCGTGAGGGTCCAGCCCTCCGCTTGCTGTGCTGCACTGTGCTCCATTTTCCCGAGGCCCAGCCACCTGGGGTGTAACGGTACCGCATCGTCGGCAGACACGACGGTTCCGAGAGACAGGATCGGTTTTGCAACCACGGCGCCGCAGCAGCGCCGGCCGCAGTTCCCGCGCGGCGCGGTCACCCTCGCAGTCGGGTCCCAAAGAGTTTATTTCATTTGCGCACGTTTGGTTTATAGCGTATTTATCAGATACACCTTTAACGTTTTTATCGAGACAGTTTAGATTTGTCATCCAGCGGGGAAGGGCTGACCTCCGATGACGCACAGACGCGGAGGCGCAGGCCCTTCTCTGAGCAAGACAGAAACAAGGCCTGAAGAGTGAGCGGGGCGGCCACGGTGACCGGGAGCACAGAACGAGGAAGCGGAGCGTGTGCTCAGGCTGGGCTTCTGGGGATGAGGGGCTTCTGGGAAATGGGCACGCAAAGAGCATCGCTAGGATCCTAGCAGGAGAGACTTGGGATCGGAAGCCATAAGTCTTCCCTTAACTGGCTCTAACTAGAGAGGGGGAAGCAAGCTGCAGATCACTGCGAAGACCGTAATGAACTCTCCGAGGCGGCCCCACATATTTAAGTTGTAGGGTAGATATCTTTTGAGCTCGTATACACTCCGAAAGGCGGGCGCCGAGTGCCAGTGTGTTTGCGGAGAATTCTCTCTCGCAATTAGAGTGGCGCGTGCCATCTTTGGAAGATATTTCTGCAGTGGTTTCAGAAATTGCGCACTGTGGACCCCATATACCACCCCTAAATAGAGGCTTTAAGAGGCTCTGGTGCATGTCATTTTAGAAGATGTGTAATACTGAGGCAGTAGGGCTTTTCACTCTATTAGTTTATGATTCTTGGGATTTTACGAGAATGTATCTAGCAACAGAAATGCATGTCGACGTGCAGACTGGCAATCACTTAGGAATGTGATTGGTTCTCTGTTAGGTTTATATGCAGCTCTGTCCCCAACAGCACTACCCCAGGAATTTGCTCTTTATAAAATCTGCCGGGCCCAAGAGCTGATGCTCCAGGCTGAGTGGCAGCCTCCTTGGGACCTGTGCAGAGCTGCCTTCTGCTGGGTTATGTCTCAAGCATCTCCTGGGTTGCTTGTCTGCCTAACCAAGGCCACATCTGAGTGAGTGGCTTTGAGGTTCTGCAGATGAAACTCCTTCCCGAGGGCCACCGAGTCCCTGTGTAACCGCTGGGGAACGTTAAGTGGCACCTACTTTAATTAACCTGCTGTCGTAAAGCTGTAAGAGTCATTGTGTTAAATATGCATCTCGAAGCCAAAATGGCAAACCCACCACAGGCGTGTTCAGATTAATAGTCTGTATCTCTTTTCTTTCTTCCCAAGAGTCATCTAGGGAACGTGTTAGTGGATATGAAGCTCATTGACATCAAGGACACTCTGCCTGTAGGCTTCATCCCAATTCAGGAGACGGTGGACACACGTGAGTCATCCTTTAGTGCCACTCATCACAATGAGAGTTTCCTTCCTCCAGGTATATTTTTAGATATTTTTTATGTGCATTTTTCTTTGGAAACATTTTAGGAGTCTTTACCGCATGCCCATGAATAAACCCTGCAGCTCTTGACGTGTGTCTGACTCGGTTCTCCAAGGAGTTTACAGTGTTCTCGTTAGCGCCATGTAAGTGAGCAGGATGTCCTTTTCTGTTAGAATGGGGCTCCCTGCAGAATCGGCCACTTAGGAACGGACGGACAAAGACACCGGAGCTAGTTTTCCTCAGTGCAGCCTCTGGTATTGCGAAGCCAAGCTTGGCACGAGACCCAGCAGCAAAGGGAAAAATAAATCAAGAGATGCCCAGGGAATACGAATGCAGTGATGTCCCCCGTTTTGGAGTCTTGGAGCTCACAAGAACAGCCAGAACCAGAGAGACTGCATGCTGGGAAACACAGGATTCGTCTGAGCGAGTGCTCTGAGCCCTGCGTAGAACCAGGCAGAAGCGAGTCGCTGATGAATCGGAAGCTTCTTCGGGGTCCCGGGGTGCTTTCAAGCCCTTGTCATGCACGCCAGTCATTAAATAGTGCTGGGAAGCCTTGGGATATTTGAGCCTCCCCATTTTGATGTAATACCACTTAGCTTGTTTTATTGTTAATTACTCTGACCAACTTTAGGATTCCCACAACAGCGAAGCAGTGAATAAAAAACACAAACACAGAGAATCCTTTCTTTGTGACACACGATTTATTTATGAAATTCCGTGTCTCATTCTGTGTCAGACATACTTTATGTTTCCACCATTTTTTGATGTTTTCTTGCTAACGTTTCATACAGACCAGACCTTCCATATCTATACAGACCCCACGTAGCAGTTATTTAGTGAAACAAATAGATTCCGTTATAGCATGTTTTTATTTTTCTCAGAAGTCTCTTCACTTTTGGACATTTTGTTTTTACTTGTTATTATATGTATTAGCTAATAATTATAATAGCTGATATTTAGCATGTTTTTACTCTATGCCAACTTCTGCGATGCTTTACATACCTGATCTCTTCGAATCTTTAGAAGACTCCTGTTCATAGATGGGTATTATTAAACCCATTGTACATATGAAATAAATGAGGCACAGTCACTACTTAGGGCTTAAAGAACTTACCCGAGGCCACACACATTTCGAAGTAGGGGACTAACGAGAATACGCACACCAGTCCGACACCAGCCACACTTTTAACCACCGTGTCACTCTATAAGAAGCAGGTGTTTAAGCACCTTTTACAGATAGTTCATATCATGTATTTGTATATCGGGTTCTTTTGGTGACTGCTTTGTTGAGAGGTAATTCACCTGTCATACAGTTTACCCATTCAAAGCCTGCCATTCAGTGGCTCTGAGTTTATTCACGGACCTGTGCAGCCACCGCCACATTCAATTTCGGAACATTTCGTCACCCTCCGAGAAACCTCTCTCCCTGTTCCAGGCACTTTCCATCTCTCCCAACCCTCACGTTTTCACCCTTGCCGGCCCTGGGCACTCACTGATGTGCTTCCTACGTAGATCTGCCTATCTTGGATGTTTCATGCAATAGAATCATACAGTATGTGGTCTTTTTGATTGGTTTCTTTCACTTACCATAACATTTTCAGGGTTCATTCGTGTTGCAGTATGTATCAGGACTTCATTGCTTTTTATTGACAAATAATAATCCTCGTATATGGGCATACCACATTGTGCTTATCCATTCAGTTGATGGATATTTGGGTCGTTTCTGCTTTCGGCTGTTGTGAATAATGCCGCTGGGCACATTCAAGTACAAATTTCTGTGTGGACAAAGGTTTTCATAACTCTTGGGTACATACCTAGGCATGGAATTGCTGAGTCACGTGGTAACTCTCTATTGAGGAACCACCACACTGTTTTTCAAAGTAGCAGTACCATTTTACATTTCCACCAGCAGTGTATGAGGCTTACAATTTCTCTCCATCTTCACCGACACTTGTTATTGTCATTCCTTTTCATCCTGGCCATCCTAGTGAGTGTCGCGTGATCACTCATTGTGGGTTTGATTTGCATTTCCCCGATGGCAAATGATATTGAGCATCTTTCCGTTGGCCATTTGTGTATCTTCTCTGGAGAAATGTCTATTGTTATCCTTTGCCATATTAATTTAGGTTGTCTTTTCAACATTGAGTGGTAAGAATGTTTTAATACACAGTTGACCATTGAACAATATGGGTTTAAATTGCAGAGGTCCACTTATACATGGATTTTTTTTCAATAAATAGTATACGTGTACTTTCTCTTCCGTATGATTTTCTCAATATTTTGTTTTCTCTAACTTATTGTAAGAATACAATATATAATACATATGGCATACACAATATGTGTTAATCAGCTGTTTATTGCTATCTGCGAGGGTTTCAGTCAAGGGGCGGGCTATTTGTAGTTAAGTTTTGGGGGAGTCAAAAGCTATTTGTGGATTTTCAACTGTGCAGGGGGTTGGCCCCCCCAACCCACGTCATTCAAGGGTCAACTACATTGAAAACGTAAATTCTTTATTAATTATATGAGTTGCACAATTTTCTCCCATCTGTGTGTGTTCACTTTCTTGATATCTTTTTAAAATATAAAGGGTTTTTATTTGTCAGAGTTTTATTTATCTATTTTTTTTTCCTTTGTTGCTTATGATTTTGGTGACATACCTAAGAAACCACTGCCTAATCCAAGGTCACCAAGATTTATGCCTCTGTTTTCTTCTAGGAGATTTGTAGTTTTAGCTCTTACATTTATATCTTCGATCCATTCTGAGTGAATTTCTGTCTGTGGTGTGAAATAAGGATGCGACTTTCTTATCCTGCATGTGACTGCCCAGTTGGATACCCATTCTTGCCCCCACAGAACTGTGGCGTCATCCTCACTGAAAGTCAGTTCACCATAGATGTGAGAATTGGTTTCTGGACTCTGCGTTCTCTTTCATCGATCTGTATGTCTTTTCTTGTGGTCAGTATCTCAGTCTTGATTACTGTAGCTTTGTAGCAGGTTTTGAAACCAAGAAGTATGAGTCTTCCAACTTCGTTGTTCTTTTTCAAGACGATTTTGGCTATTCTGGGTCCCTTGAATTTCTTTTTCTTTTTCTGGGTCCCTTGAATTTCCATACGAATTTCAGAATTTGTCCGTTTCTGCGAAGAAGTCAGCTGGGATTTTGATAGCAATGGTGTTGAATCTGTAGATCAGCTTGGTTATGTGTAGCCTTTGGATGAGTTCCTTGTGATAAGTTACCAGGTACTTGAGGCTGCTGGGTAACAGGTCCTCTGCGGTCTGTCTCCAACCTCCCTCTACACACATACTCCTCACCTTCAAGCTCCCTATCCTCTACCCAAAAGGAGCCCTCTGCAGACTCCTTTTTTTTTTCTGAATCTACATATTTGCTTTATTGTCTTCTCTGCCTGAAAACCCTTTCCCTCAACTTTGAATGTCCACACCCCGTATCTCTCAAGTTCTCCCACCTGCATCAGACACATCCCAGTTTGAATCAAGCTCTCCTTCCTCTCCACAGTCAGTTCAGATTGATGAGTGGCTAGTAGGCACTGCAGGCTATGGGATATAAAGATGACTAAGATACTGGCCCTAGCCTCAAGGACCTTAGTCTATGGGTGACCTGGACCTGAGAACAAGGAATTGCGTTACAGTATCATTGGACAGGGCTGTGATCGGTCAGAGGCCCCCCTCTTTATTGCTTTTTATTTCACCTGGCACAGCACACATTGTTTGGAAGGGACGGAGGGGAGTGAGCACATGCACGTCACAGCGGTGGGAGGTCCACGGGAGTGGCCGATTCTGCCTCTGCATTCCGTTAGGACAAACTGCCGCTTGGCAAGTTGGAGAACTTGTGCTCTGGAGTGAGTCTCACCTGATACTGAGTCTGGCTTTGCTACTTCCAGCTGTAGGACTTCACCGTCCTGGGCCTTGGTTTCCTCATCTGTAAAATGGAGTTGGGGGAAATATTATTCATCTCATCTCATAATGCTGCTTTTAGCTTGCATTTTAACCATGTACGTGGTTTCTTCATGTCTTTATTACTTATCTTTGAGGGCAAGATCCATGTTTAATTCATCTGTGAATCACCTAAGGTGCCCATCGTACACAGTGCCTTGCTCAGAGGCTGGGCCCAATAACAATAAGCTTTATTACTCTCTGTTGCCAAATTAACTTCCAGGAATATCAGTTCACAGTGCTACTAATGATACAGGCTCGTACCTGCTTTCCACAGGCCTGCCAGCGTGGGTTTTAAATTTTTTATTTGGTTTTGCTATCTTAATTTTATTTAATTTCCACTTCATTATTTATTAGCAAGACTGAACATTTTCACAAATGTTTGCTGGCCACTTTTATTTATTCTTAAAAGACTTATCTGCTTGAGAACTAAAATTGCTTGTAGACTTGTGTTTATTTCCCATTTTTCTCCAGCGTTTTTCTTAGTCTTAAAATTTGCATTGGTGTTCATTTTTGACAACTCATTGACTGATAATGTCTTTATAGTGATACACTATAGAGACACTAAGCATTTCCCATTCTGCATTTTTCTCTCAATTTGTCAAACCACTTAAGTGAGGCGGCCCAGAGCTGATTCCTGTTGGGGTCGTGTCCAGCTGCTGTGGGGTGACCCCACATAGTAATTCTGGGTGGGAAGCCACTCCCCGCAACTAGGAGTGTAATGGTTGCTGCCCCATGGACATTCTGAGATCGTCCTGGCATCTCCAGCGTGTATCTTATCACACAAGGAGGGCGGGTTTTGGGTAGCCTGTTTATTTTGGGTCATACAGTCATTTTCTGGAGCCTTTTACCCAGGGGACAGGTGAGCACAAGCTGACCAGATAAACCTGTGGTCAGCTCTGTGCAGTTTGAGTGCATTTAAGGTCCTCATTTTATAGAGTCAGCCAAAAAGATGAGACTTCTATCATTAATTTGAAATAGTTTGTTGTAATCCACAGAGTACTTAAAAACTGGAGAACTGTTTCAGTAAAGTGCTTTGTCCTTTCCCTGTATTCATTAGCATGGCTGAACACTTTTCTGTTGACTCTGCATAATATGTTTACTTAAAATCAGGCCTGTCTGAGCCTATGTAATTAGTGGCTCCATCTCTGAGAGTTTGCCGTAGACGGGAGGAATGGAGCAAAGAGCAGCCTGGCAAAAGCAAGTGAAGTACCTGCATTGTCTTTTACTTTGAGGACAGATCTCACCTTCTTCACACTTGCCAAGGCCCAATCTGATCAGCTAATAGTTTTCAAAGGGGAAGGGTTGCTCCAGACGCTTTCCCGCAGGACACTACCCCGCCTCGCTGGGTACAGCATTTGGGGTCTGGCTTCGGGATGTTATTACTCATAGCTTGTGGGTCTGCTCTCGCCCTCAGTTTCCTCGCTTAGGAAGAGAACCCATACAATTTCCGAGTTTCCGCCTGGCTCTTTTAAAACCAACCCCCCACCCCGGTCCCCAACGACAATACAATACCGCCGAGTCTGCCCTCCCCTTGGTAAAATCAGTTCCAAAAACAGGACCGCCCTTTCCTCCCCATGCTGCTCCCTGCTTTAAATGTACTTATTTCAAGAACTGAGGGTTCTTGAACGTGAGTGCCCAGCCCTGACATACAGGGTGTGCTGGAGGCTTACCTGTAAAGATGATAAGAGTATCCAATAGAGAACATTCTTTATTGAGCACTTCCTGGGTGCCAGGCGTCGGGCCAAGTGTAGCACGTGTGTGATCCCCTTTCATCTCCCCTACGTCCCCATTTCATTAACTTCCTTTTACGGGTAATGGAACCGAGGCTAAGAGAAATTCAGGTCATAGTGCCAGAAAATGGCAGAGGTGAGATTTTAACTCAGATCTGTCTGACTCATGTATTGAGACACGGCCGTTGATTAAATCTCATGTTTAAAAACCACAAAAGAACAAATACCTGGTCGGTCACCACTGGAGGTTGCTAGGGAACCGACTCATCACTCTAAGACTTGATAAATAAAAGAGTCATGCACTCGTTTTTTTCCTATACAAGCATATTGCAGAGAGCTCAAGTAGTTAAGAAGAAAAGTTATTTTTTATGTAGAAGCGTTCCAGCTAATAAATGTAGAAGGAATGATGGATTTAGAAAATCACCACTTTGAAAACTTTAATGAAATTATGAACCTATGCAACAGGGGGAAGAAAACACCACCCAGGGAATGGTCATTGGGGACTTTACAGCTGAGGCACCAGGCTCACACCACGGGAAGCCCGGGGTGGCCCAGCTGGATGGCATGCCTCACGGTGTGATGCCACGGGATGTACATGCGCCACCTGCGAAGTGCTCTCACCTGAAGAAATCGAACGTGCGCCTGCATAGAGCCTTGAGCTGTAACTGCCAGTTTACAGGAAGTACAGGGGAACCACCCAGTTTCTTCAACCTACCAGGGCCCCGAGGACAAAGGGAGAGGTCGTTACCAAATAAAAGGGACTTACGAGGCCTAACAGCCAAATTCAGACAAACCAACAGTTAAAGGACGCTTTTGAGATGTTGGAGAAAACTTGAGTCTAGACTGTCTATTGGATGAAATTAAGAAATCATTGTTCATTTTGTTAGGAATGAGAATAGCATAGTGATCACGTTAAAAAAAAAAGTCACTGCCACAGATGCCTGCTGAGATATCCACGGGTGAGAAGTCACGGCGGTGGAAATTCATTTTAAATTCTCCAGCAAGACCAGAGGTGATGGGGAGGGACGAAAGCAGCCTGTCCATTTTTGACAGTGTTGAAACTGGATGACCGGAACATGTGGATTCACTTACTATTCTCTCTACGTTGGGGAAATGTTAGAAAATTTCTACAGTAAAAGGGAAAAAAGCCCACGTGGTAAAGCGTTAATACTCAGGGTCTCTCTGCGCGTGTGTCTGACGGCCGGTGCAGGGAGCAGGCTGTTTGTGGTGGTGGCTTCTAGAAGCCAGCCCCACGGTTTATTCCAGACTGTTTCTCCTTGCAGAAGCAGACGTACCCCTGGGAGCCCCTTCTCGGCAGGGGCTGTCTGGGGTCAGGTCGTGAACGCAGAGCAGGGTGACTGATGCCCAGTCTGCAGTCACAGCCTGTCCACTGCGGCCCTATGGAGGGCAGCGGGGGTAGAACCCAGCCCTCCTGTCAGGCCACTTGGATGACCGGTCGCTTCCGCTGACAGGAAGAGTATGTGACAGGAGACGTGGTACTCGGAATAGAGATGTCGGCATTTCTGGAAGGCTCATACCTTTTCTTGCTCTTTCCTTCAGAGGAAGTCGCATTTAGAAAGAAGAGGCTGTGCATTAAATTCATCCCACGAGATTCGACCGAAGCTGCAATTTGTGACATTCGGATCATGGGCCGGACCAAGCAGGCCCCTCCTCAGTACACGTTTATTGGGTAAGTCTCAGTAACACAGACGGCTTCTTTCTGTCAAGAGCGCTCACGTCACTTCTGGGGATGTAGCCCTGAGGCCACCCATGAGATTCTTGGCCTTCTGGGCAGAGGAGAAGAGTGGGTGGGCAGTGGGGATGGACATGGCGCCCGGGGAGCAGAAAGGAGCCCCGCGAGGAGGAGGCGGGGTGGGGGGAGTTGGCAGGACCTTGTAGCACACGAGAGTGGTTTGGGTTTTATGCCAGGTGCACTGGGAAGCCCTTGGGGGGAAAACGTATTAAAAGACCACGTGATAATTTGGGGGACAGTTTTTTGGCCTGAGGTTCATCTTCTCTGATGAACAGAGGCATGCCGAGGCCTGGGCCCACAGTGGCTTTTTCACCTGGTGGCCCCGGTACTGGGCACGGGCCTGGCTCTGAAGCCGCGTCATAGATACTAAGTACAAGGAATAGGATTTCACTCTGGGCTTTTTGGGTCGTAAGTGACAGGAAACCCAACCCGGGCTGGCTTCAGCCAAGGGAGGAATTTGTTGGCTGACATAACAGCAGAATTCAGGGGCAGATTGGCTTCAGGTGCGGCCAGAAGTAGTCACTGAGAGGAAGTCACTAGGATCTAGGCCCCCACCCCCAATACTTCGCTCTGATTCCTCACAGGGGACCCAGTTCTTGGACGTGTTCTCCCCTAGTGGAGGAATGGTGGTGCTGTTGGTTCACCTACTTTTCCTCCAGGTTCAAGTCCCAAGGTAAAGAGCAAGCAAGTCTGTGTTCCTGGAAGTTCTAGGATTCTGTCTCATTGGCCTTGATTGAGCTCACTGGGGTTCCGTGTACCCTGAACCCAGCACTGCTACCTGGAAAATGTTCTCTCTTTCAGTCCTGAGCTGGAAGCGGGGCCGGTGCCATTGGAACTCGGGGACTAAGAAGGGGGTGGAGGTGGGGGATGAATAGCTGCTGGGTGTCCAAAAGGCAGTGGGTGCTCATTATCCTCAATCAGCCGAAGTTCAGGGCTTTCCCGTTAATCAGTGTGGTGGATGGTTCTCAGCCTCTCAGCCGCAAGCCAGCTCTGCAGGCATCTCACTTGTCCTTGTGGGTCCCCATGGGCGAGTTCTACTCGGCTTTTGAAGTCGGCCTTCTGGATCTGCCTGGTGCTCTGTTTTACTTCTTGCTCCATGAGCCCAGACCCTCCTCTTTGCTCTAGAAGCCAGGGCCTTCCCTGTAGGCAGGGCACTGGAGGAGTGTGGTATTTGCTTGACGTGCACAGAGAGCTGGTGTCATAGAAATAGAGATTATTTTCACCTTGGTGCATAAGAGTTTGTTTAGACTCTTCAGCTCTGAAGTCCAAATCTTCTGTCTCAAGATTTTGTGGTCTTTAAGAAAGACTCTATGGTCATTCCCTTCTTACACACTCAAAAATCCTGTTTTGGAACATGGTTTAAATGGATTTCACAAACAGGACTATGTAACAGGAGCAGGAAGCAGTCAGGAGTATAACTGTGCTTCAGGTGCCTTAGAAGCAGCCACTTAAATACAAACTGTAGAAGCCAACAATTCAATGATGAACTTTTAAAGTCTAATTTCAGTTACTATGTGTATTTTTAATTACAAATTATACTACTTTGAAAGAGTCAGTTTTTAATAGTTTAAACAATACTAAAGAATAGATTCTTACCAAATATGTCTTGATAATCAAAACTAAGATCTTCCTTTATATCATTTTGAAAAGATTGCTAAAGTCTTGTTTCATCTTGGGGCAAAAATTCTTTTCCAGAGCCAGACAATTCCAGTGTTGTTTTTAAGTAAAGAAAGAGAATTCAGTTCAGAACTCTAAGTCACTTTTTCTAAAAAAAAAAAAAAAAAATGAGCACAGTTCCACGTGTTACTTTGCAAGGGTTGGGTTGTCAGCCAGGGGAGACAGACACCCCAGACAGGGAACATCTCCTCGAAGGCTGCACGTGTAGCCTCAGCCGAGACATGGCGAAGTCAGTGCAGCCGATGAGAATCAGCCGTCTATCTAATGAGACAGAATTATGGTTTAGAATCATCCCTGGGTGGACAGAGAAGCTGCTAGAAGAATCCACTGAATAAGTCTGCTCTCGTTTTTTGAACAGATGACATCCCTCTCCATCCCAAGATGCAGTTCTGTGGGGCAGTTGAGAAGTTGTAAATTGGATGTGGCTAAAACGATCTCAGTACAATTCCTAAGAGCAAACCTGTCTCATAAACGCTTGTGCCGTGTGGTGTGCAGCCGGGCTGCGGTGGGCGGGCCTAGCAAGTCTGTCAGGCCCTTTTGTGTCCACCCTTCATTGCGGCGGTTCACGAGGCACATGCTTCGTGGTTTGAAGATGTCTCCCCAAGCTGACTCAGAGAATGAGGCCAACTACAGGTGACATCTCGGCAGTAAGGAGCTTTATCCAGAAGTTGGGGCATGTCCCAGAGCAGGTGGGGCTAATTCTCCTCATAGTCAAAAAGCACTGCTCTGTCTCACCCAAACCATACAAAGGACTTGAAGTGAGTTGTCACATGAACACCTACAATTAAATGGCAAGATAAAAACAATTTTAAAGACCGAGAACCAAGGAAAACGTCTAGAGTGTAGCAGGAAGAGAAGCTCCAGGGTGGGTGGAGGAGGTGGCCATGTCAGAAGGGCCTGCCTAATGGGGACAGTTGCCCTCACACTTGGCTCTGAGCTGTGGTACCCAGAGCACAGAGAGAGGTGACAGAACTGATCCCGTGGAAGAGGATCGACTCCCTAGTGTTTGGGGCTATGATTCTTCCGAAGGAGTCGGTTTGCTTTGTCACTCGGGTAAATGCTTCTTCGTGCTAAACAGTGCCATGAAGATTTCTCTTTTCTCCTAAAGGGAACTGAACAGCATGGGGATCTGGTACCGAATGGGCAGAGTCCCAAGAAATCATGACTCCTCTCAACCCACAACGCCTTCCCAGTCATCATCCGCCTCCACCCCGGCCCCCAGCCTTCCCAGGTGAGGCTTGTCAGTGGCATCTCGTGCTGCTGTGCATGTTACAGCCGTGTGGTCTTGAGTCCCACAGAACAACCTTCTAGAGCACCGCCACTTAGACTCTGCTGACATGGTGCAGAAGCAGTATGCCTCTGATTTTTAAAACCCAGTTCGAAATCTTTGCATTACTTGAATGTTAGGGCCATTCTGTATTCTATTTTGTACATATTCTGAAGCCTCTTAAAATAGAACATGCAACTCTAAATTGGCTTGCTCTTCTAGCGAGCTTGTAGCTACACACAGACACATTTGTAGCCACACAGTTGGGAACAGTGGCCGTGGGAAGGGAGGTTCCTCCTCTGCCTTGGCCAGCGAGCGACTCCTTTGAAACCTTTGAAACGCAACTTTGAAACACAAGAGGGTTGCTAAGTAATTATGTTCATTTTCATGTTGTTTCTTTTCTCCCATGAGCTAAGAATTGAGCAGTTTCTTTCTGTATGGGAGACTAGCGCGCAGTTTTTCAGGGGATGTTAGTGTTAATAATTGTTTCCATAAAGAAACGCGAGGAAGTACAGAGGTCGCCCTGCGGCTGGTGCCTGTTGTAACGGAGGGGATGGGGGTGGGGATGGGGGCCTCTACGCTTCTTGCAAGAAGCACCTGAGAAAAAGGAGCCTGTCAAAGAAAAAGCCTCTGCGTCCCCAGTAAATTACTAGAGGACGAGGGACAAACGGCAGTGATGGATCAAGTCTGAGAAAGGGATGACAAAAGTAAATAAAACAAGTAAACACGGCGAGGCGGCATCACTTGGGGACTGAGGTAGCATCCATGAGAATGGACCTGAAAGCTTCCGCGTGGGCGAACGGAGGTGAGCACTGTCAGCAACAGGACAGGCTCGTCACCGGTGGGCTCCCCCTCCGGGCCCCCACGACCCACACCTTGCCCCCGGGGGTGCGGGGAGAGGGTGGTGTGGCCGCCAGCTCTCGGCCCTGCTCTGGCTGCGCGTCCACCTCCCCCGGAAGAACGTCCCCCGTGAACGCAGTCCGGGCTTTCTCGGGACAGTTTCACAGACTGAGAGAGGCTCCTAGACTTAACTAGCCCTGGAGTCGCCTGAAACTTCAGAAGCAGTTTTCCGGTTCTCTTTGGTATGAGAAGATAATGACTAGCTAATGAGCTCCCCGGAGCGGCAGGTCGAGCCGCTGAGCGTCCGTTTGGCTTAGGAGTCCCAGCTCGGGTCAGCACTTGCCCGTTCCTTTCTCACTGCCCAAAGCACCGTCACAGCTGCCATCCCTCTCACCTGTGCTGAGGTTACCTCAGGCCCATCACCCTGGAGTAGTTGCAGCTGCTCCCCGTTGACAGCATATGGGCGGGAAGGGCCTAGGAACCCGCAGGACCTCGGGGCAGGTTTCGCCTTGCCGTGGAGGAAGAACGCCGGTCCTTCCCGTGCGGGCAGGGGAGTGCTCTCTCCAGAAGCCCACCCGTCCGCGGGAGGACGGTCACCAGCAGCTGCAGCAAGAGGGCCCAGGAGCACAGGCGCCGGGCGCCGGGCAGAACTGGAGGTAGAGCATCAGAACAACGTGTTTATGAGGCTTATGTATTTTATAACCTCTCGCACAGTTTATAGTTTACAATGGCTGCAAGGAAATTGGATCGGTTTTGTTTTACTTGCCAAATAAAAAAATGTCAAAATAGTCAATATAAAATGTATTCTAATTTGGCTGAGTTAAGTCAGCCAGGATGCAGTAGGATAATTGAACGTTATATTAATGCTTCCCGGTAAAAATCACCTGTCTACCCCAAACTCTCCTCTATCGCTGCGCCGTAATTTACAGGTGGCACGCACACCTATGTGAGTCTGATCCGTCAGGGTTTTTGTGTCTTTGGTTTTTGTGTTATTCTCTTATCCAGTATCTCGATTTAAAAAAAAAAAAAAAAAATGAATTGCCGGTTATTTATTCAGATTTTCCATCGAAGATTTATGAAATGATGAGTACATGGCTTTGTTCCCTGAGGCTGCATGTCTCTGTGTCTCGCCAGCAGAGGAGTCTGACAGCTTTCCCTCGGGCGGTGAGCCATGGGTGACGCTCGCGTCCCCAGTGTGGGGCTCTGCGGTGGCCCTGTGAGCTGAAGGCTCCCGTGACTTCTGGTCTTCTCTCCCATCCCCGAGCCTCAAGCTTTAAGACGAACTGGTGGTCTCTTCCCTTCCTGTTTGATGCTTCAGTGTCTTTGCTCGCGTGGACACCCGTGCGTTTGGGTGTGTCTCACATTCCTGCCTCAAATAGCAGTTCAAGTGCCTCCTCCTGCGGGAAGCCTTCCAGGAACTCGGCGGGGCCGGGCTTGTGCCGGGCTCTTTCCTCTGAGTGCTCCTCTGCTGTTACGCCTTCACTTTGTGTTGTGGTCATTGTTGTGAACTCCTTGAGGACAGAGACTTTTATTTTCCAGTGCTCAGCCCAGATCCAGGCATGTATTCGGTTTTGCAAAAAGGCTTCTCCACCAGGTTACCAGCTCCTTCTGCCTTCCCCCCGCCCCACGACTCCCGAGCCCTTGAGCGCTCCTGGAGCTTCTTGTGATTACGAGAGTAACACAAGCTCGTAGAAAATTGAGAGAGTATAGAAAATATGAAAACGCAAATTCCATTTCCAGTGGGCGAAGAAGGCACGTGACCTTGGTTATGTTTCCTTCACGTCATTTTTCTGTGTACTTTTTACATAGGTGATATCATATTGTTGCAAGTTTGTGTTTTGCTGCTGCTTTCTCATGTAGTATGAAACCCCAAGCATAAGAAACGCTTCTTCAAGAGCGGTCTTTGTGTGGACGCAAGGATCAAGTTGCAAAGCCAAGGCTAGAGCGAGAGTGTGGTGATGCAGCGCCCTCTACTGGCCAGATTTGGAGCAGCGGCAGGGAGGACCCACCCGAGGGTTCCTGAGCCATGGACAGCAGGCCCTCTGCCCAGCAAATCCCTTGGGGGGACTGGAACTGAGGGAGCAAGTGATAGCAGCCTTTATTGCCTTCTTGAGCTCGAGTCTTTGTCTCAAAAGCTAAAATCATGTGCTCGGCCTCCATTTCTTATGTCGTCGCTCACATTTCAAAGAATTTCCTGCCATTTTTTTGGAGAGCTGTGGTCCCCTGCTTATTTCAGACACAAGGAGCAGTCGAAGGACCTTTTCAGAGATGATAGGTCCTCACCTGATGACCTCCTGGTCCAAGCAGAACTGCCTTCTCTCTGCAGAGGCAGGTACAGCCCCAGGAGCTTCCTGTCCCTTGCCTTCCTGTTGCCGCAGAGTGCTTAGTCATGGGGTCGGAGCCGGAGCTGTCCCTTCAGAATGGGCAGGCCTGGAGGGACCAGGGCTTCCCCTGCGCTGTATCTGGTGAATTCCACGCAGTGTTAGGTGGCGTTTGTGTCACAGGCAGGATAAGGTGTCTCGGTGGAGCGCCTCTTCCTCATTCAGTGAAACTCGATCTTGCACACAAACACCTCTGCACATTTCTTGAACTTTCCAAGTGCAGAGGGGCATGCCACTTCTTCCGGGAGCTTAGAGCCGTGGGCTTCTGTCCGGGCATCGGTGCTGCTCCGTCCTCTGCCCATCTGCTTCATGCATGTTGGTCAGCAGGGTGGGGCAGGCCTGGGAATGAGGCACAGTCCTGTCTCCCCTCTCTCTTCCCAGCTGGCCTCAGCCTGGCGCAGGCTTCTCCGATCCTCTTCCGGGCCACTGCCAAGGGGGCAGAGGGCAGATAGAAGCGGCACCTTCCTGCTTCACCCAGAGCAGCCCCCACACTCACCTCTCACATACTGGGCCTCACAGGTGATTCTGCTGGGACCGAGCCTGGAAAAGTTCCGGGAGGCAGGCGGATTCACAACTGATGGCGTGCCGGTAGCCCTGGCGGGTGGGCGAAAATCCCGAGAGGGGGCCCCTGCCGAGCCGCCGCCCCTGGCGTGCTGCGTGGCGGAACCGGTGGCTTGATAAAGACATCAGAAGCGTGCTTATCAAATCTGCAGATGACACAGAGTCATTAGGGAGAGCTGATGTGCCGAGTGACAGAATCGATACTCCACGTCTCCCCTGCAGCTGCACACCCTGCTGGAGCCGGGAGATGAAAGGTGATGGTGGAGTGGACAGGGCCTCCTGAGGTTCAGGAATCAATCGCACAGGAGCCAAACTGAGGAGACCGGCCTGAGCAGTGCTTTGTGTGAAAGGACCCCGCCGGGCACGAGCTCAGGTGTGCGGGATGCAGTGGTGTGCGCAGCAGGGCACATCTCGTGACATGGTGTCCCACGCCTGTCAGGTCTGTGGGGAGAGTCGTGTCCACTGCCAGGCACCACCTGTAGAAGTTACCTGACCACGTGTGGAATTTGAGTATGAGAGATCGCTGAGTTTTGACCTGAGACACAGCAGCTGGCTTCAGGTGTTTACACGGTCAATATGTAGGAGGTTTAAATATGTAGGAGGTTTAAATGGTCAATATGCAGGAGTGTTTCCAGGTGGGGATGGATCGTCGGGAGCCCCGCAAGGCAAAATGAGACGAGGTGGACTGAAGTAGAAGGAGGTAGACTTGGGCCGAATGTTTTGAAGAATGGATAAAGAGAACTTTCCCAAAGTGAAAATGCCACGCGTGGTGTTGTCACACTGCTGGCAATGTTCAAACAGCGTCTGGGTTTTTCAGACCTTCAGTGGTTCTTCCTAAGCCTCACTTAAGAAACCTGTCTCATTCTCTGTCCCCACCGTCGCAAGTCCAGATTCAGCAGACCTGCACGTTAGGGCAGCAGACACCCTGCCAGCGGTGACTGCAGGGAGCTCTGGTGGGTGGGGAGGGCACAGAGCCGTGGGCGTTTGTCCCTGAGCTCTGCTCACGGGGCTCTCAGTGCTTCCCCATGCCCTGACGTGTCACCGTCACCTTCTCGCTAACCAGTTCGGACGTCAGGCAGGGCTTGGATGGCTGCGAAGTGGCTGCTGCCGCGCCCTGCCTGGGACACAGGAGGCCCTCGGCAGTGCTGGTGCCCCGTGTCCCCGTCCAGCGTTGGCAGGTAC